AACTTAAGAAGAGAAGTCTTGAGGAAGGGCATCAAAGTGATTTGAGTATTCATCCAGGTGCTACGAAAATGTATCGGGATTTGAAGAAAATGTTTTGGTGGCCAGATATGAAGAAATAAATTGCTAAGTTTACGTATGCTTGATTGACTTGTCAGAAGGAGAAGATTGAACACCAAAAGCCTATAATTCTTATGCAACCTTTGAGTATTCCATAGTGGAAATGGGATAGTGTTTCTATGGATTTCGTGTAGGGGTTACTGAAGACTGTTAAAGGTGATGATTCAATTTGGGTAATAGTGGATAGGTTTACTAAGTCGGCTCATTTCTTACCGATGAAGATCAATCATCCTATAGAAAAGTTGGCTAAGATGTACGTTGAAGATATTGTAAAGTTTCATGGAATACCTTCGAGTATCATGTCGGATACAGACCCAAGGTTTACATCGAAATTTTGGACAGGTTTGTAGAATGCTTTTGGTACCAAGTTAAATTTGAGTTTTGCATATCATTTGCAGACAGACAGTCAAACAGAGAGGACTATCCAGTCTTTGGAGGATTTGCTGAGGGCTTGTATGCTAAAACATAGAGGATCTTGGGATAGTCACTTGACATTGATTGAATTTACATACAATAATAGTTTCCATTCAAGTATTGAAATGATACCGTACGAAGCATTGTATGGTAGGAGGTGTAGAACTCTATTGTGTTGGTATGAGTCGGGCGAGAGTGTTGTACTCGGACCTGAGATTGTGCGAGAGACAACTAAGAAGATTAAGATGATGCAAGAGAGGATGAAGGCTTCTCAGAGTCATCAGAAAAGCTATCATGATAAGAGAAAGAAGGCATTGGAGTTTCAGAAAGACGGTCATTTGTTTTTTAGAGTTACTTCGGTAACAGGTGTTGGTAGAACTTTGAAATCAAGGAAGCTTACACCATACTTTATTGGTCCATATTAGATATCTGAGAAGATAGGTGATGTATCCTATAGGATTACTTTACCACCGTCACTTGCGAATCTTAATGATATGTTTCATATATCTCAATTGAGAAGGTACATTCCAAATCATTCACATGTGATTTAGAAGGATGAAGTGCATGTGAGAGATAATCTGACTGTTGAAGAATTACCATTGAGAATAGAAGGTCGTGAAGTGAAGAAATTGTGAGGTAAATATATTGCCTTATTGAAGGTGTTATGGGGTGGACCGGCTGGTGAAATCTTTACTTAGGAGTGTGAGGATCAGATGAGAGAGTCGTATCCGACTCTGTTTTCCTCAGGTTATTTTCGAGGGTGAAAATTATGTAAGTGGGCGAGAGTTGTAACACCCCAACTTTTAGAAGTTATTTATTTAATGAATTATTAGGAGTATTTACGAATAATTGATATTTTATATGATTATATGCGTGATGTGTTGGCATGTGGTTGCTTATGATGTGGAACATGTGATGTGAATGAAGGGATTGGATGCATTGGAATAATTAGATGATTATTTAGTAATTATTTGGATTATTATCTAGAATAGAATAATAGGAATAATCATTTAAATAGAGTTATTTTAGATAGAGTGGTATGTTGGTAATTAGTAGGAAGAGTGAGGACGTGATGGTAAATAGAAATTTACTAAGTGAAGGAAATTGAGGAAGAAGTTAGGGTTCCTTTGTGATAACAGAGAAGAGATAGTTGTTATTCTCACAATCGATCATGAAAGTTGGAGAAGAAAGGCTAGGGCACGAAGGCTTTGAAAAGAATCATCGTAAGAGGCACGAAGGCTTTGAAAAGAATCATCGTAAGAGGCACGAAGAACAGAATCAATCACTCTAAACAATAAGGTAAGGAGGTTTTATCTAATTATTATGTTTGATCTAAGTGGTGGATAGATGTAGGATTTTGCCTTAGTTATTGACAATGGTGATTTGGTGTTGTTGTGGTGGAGAATTGATGGAATTGTAATGAATTTTGAACCATAATTATTATAGAATTGATGTAGTATACCAAGTTGTTGTTAGATTATGATTCCCCATGATTAGATAGCATTTTAGGGCATGTTACCTGACTAAATTGCAGGTAAAAGTGACCTGAAACAATGCAGAATCAGAAATAGGAAAACCTTGTTCGCATGGAATCACCGGGTGGCGGTTCCCGTGTCGTCGGGCGACGATGGTCCGTTGGGCGATTGGAGAGGCTAGAAAAAGAGGTAAATGGGGTGTTGGTCTCTATAATGTGTCATCGGGTGATGGAAGGCAAAACTGGAACATCTGAGCTGCAATCTTAAACATGTATAACTTCAATTCTGGAGCTCGGATTGAAGTTCTATTCAAAGCAATGTGTAGCTAACGTAGTAAACCTTAATTTGGTGAGATAAAATGAAGACCTAGAAGTATTTTTACCAGACATAAGTTAGAATAGGAATAGGTTCCCTGTATTGAATCGCAATGATGATTCGTTTAATTATGATGATATGTTATTACTATGATGATATAATGATGTTATGATGATGTTTTAATTATATGAGTATATATGATGTTGTTTTACGTATGTTGTTGTTGCGCATTATGCATTCATTAGATAACTTTTGTCCATTTTGATGAGTTAAGACGTTGGTCCAGTGATTTGGTCTGAATCCCATTGTGTGGAATTGGGATGTATATGATTTACTCTGGTTCCAAGAGGGAAATGATCCTATGATTGGGGTCTTTGGAGTGTGATGGCCAGTATCTATCAAGTAATTTGGTACCATATGCATGAGTCTTGTCCTTGCAATACATCTTATGTGGCATTTCATGGTTCTTGATTTTGGTGATATTGTGTTGTGTTGGTTAACTTGGAAGATGATATTGATGAGTTAATTATTGTGATACTTTTGGCTTCCTCTGCTATGTCTATTACTTATATCTTACATAATGATTGTAATAAAGTCACCCTTTTCTGCTCGAATGTTTCCTCTACATGAGTAACATACAGATAATCAAGAGTAGTCCTTAAAGGCTTGGAAGAATAGCTTTGGAGGGTGATTTATTTCCATTGAGTCTAGAAGTTCTTGCTCTGATATGTAACATCGGGGACGGGAACGCTTTATTTTGAAAACTATTTTGTTCTTGTTTTTTTATGACATTTAAATTGTTTCCATGGATTTTAAATTATATTGAACTATGAACCATGAATCATAGGGCACTATGAAGTATTTTTAGTGAAACTTGTTTGAACTATGATTCTTCTGCAAGTATGTGAAACATTGATAATGTATATGTCATGAATAATTTTGAAAACCCGTGTTACGGAGTAAGACTAGCACGTACGATTATTTCACGAATAAAATGTGATGCCCTTTTGTTGTATTACTCTGATATTATTCTAAATAATTATAAATATTCGGTTGGATTTAGAAGGGTGTTACACTTAGGGTTTTATATTTGATTCCTAAATGTTGTACCCTAAAATTTTCCCTCCCATTTCTCCAATATAACTCCTCATGCTCCTAGAGTTTTTAATTGCTCAAGGGTACCAAAGCTTCTCAGGTCTCAGGATATCTCAACTGATTTTTCATCAGGGGATTCGGAGTTGCAAGTGTTTCAAAGTGAATCACATTTTCTCCTATTTATTGGCTCTTGTGTTAAGGTGTTGATTACTGAAGTGTGTGACGTCTTTCTTGACTAAATTATTGAATCAATTATCATCATGATTATTATCTTAGTACACCTTCAATCATCAACTGAGGTTCATTAGAAGTTTTCTTCTTTGATTCCACTTTGATATTTTTCAAAGATTCTTCAAAGGCAAGATATCATTCTTAAGCTCGGTGATTAAGGAAAGATTCGATGTGGATTTTCATTAGGAGGATTCTATTTGGTTTCTAAAAAATCAAGTGTATTTTTGGTTCAATTTTTTAGTTCAAATGGTGAAGTTATATGCGGAGTCTAGTGAATATCTTGCGGGCTTATTAGAGTACATTCTTTGGGCTTTTTAGAGTTCATTTATGGGCTTAATAGATTTTGAATTTCAAAAAGGCTATCGGAGGGAGTTTTGGTTCTTTTGTTTTACTACTTAAAATATGTTCGTCTTGACAAATTTGGAAATAAATAAATTGAAGACCATTTTATTTTCTTGCTACCCAAGGACATTTACATTTACTACTTAGAATATTTTGCATTTTTCTCAAGGAGGAATTCGAAGATTTTTGTGTTTCTAAACCAAGGTTCATATCATCAATTTCAATTGCAAATTCTACAAGGTTTCACAATATTATTTACAAGGAAAATCTTGTTATTATACAAGGTTACAAGATTTGGCAAAAGGGACTATTACATTCAAACACATACTTCCTCTAAATTTTATTACAAGCATGATCCAAGTTCCTAAGGATTAAGCTTTTACAATACAAACTCAAGTAGAACTACTAATCTAACGAGTTTAATCCTATGAACTAATGATATCTTTATCTACTTCTTCTAATCTCCCTTCCAAACTTCATGCTAAGACACATATATCTTCTCTTCATGCCTAATCCCTTGCCATTTCCATTCATGATACAAGAAATAAGAGAAATGTTATAACACGATCAATGAAACTTGAAGAAGAAGAAATTTTCAAGAAGGTTTTTCATAACTTCATCATTAGGGATTTATGACAGGAATCAGACATAAGGATGGTTCTCAATCATGTGCTAAGCCTAACAAATGCCTCATAATCATTTTGTTTTTACAAACAACAAAGTCAAAATTATAATTCTAATTATAGGCCCAAGGAAATCACTACTACAAATCACAAGAAATGCCCGAAACTTGGTTCACAGTAGAGGTCCAAAAAGAAATTTGTCGCAGTAAAACAAATTGCAAGTACAAAAAATTCGCAGCCAAGGTAAAGCCCATAACAAAATGCAAGCAAGCCTATCTGAAATCGGTTATCAAGCAGCAACCCTAATTGTATCAATATAAAAAACTAACCATTGCACAACTTTCAAAGGCAATTGTTCATCATATAGAGACATCCGCAACAACAAACCTTAATCTAATACTGTCATCATTTTCCCTTTCACAAAAAATCCTTCAGAAATACTTGAGTTCTCAAAGGCAGAAGAAGAAAAGGAGTTACCTCGCTTCAGCTTGAAGGTCACGCCAGAGCACTTCTTTGCGCCGCTGCGAGCACCAATGTTGTCATCATAAAAACCCTGTTCGTCACTATTTCCAGACCTATTTGGGTAGGTTTCCTTCTATTGTTCATGTTTCACTCTTAATTTACTAATTATTTGTTATTCTGAGGCTGCAGATCGAGTAGAAATCTTAGGGTTTATGATAACCTCTTTTAGATCTACCATTTTTATGATGTTTTTGCAAAAAATGAAGTGGAGATTAGTGTTCAGGAGAAGGAGACGAGCAAGAAAGTGTAAAAGATTTGAGATCAGAACTTTTTGGGATGGCGCCACCGTCGAGTACATCGCCTTCTCCGTTGATCTTCATCCCTGCCACCTCATGTTTATCAGGACCACCGTATTTTTTCTTCCTAGGCCACCGCATTGGATCTTGATTTTGATTAGTTTCTTGTGTTTGTGTGTTTAAGCGTAGAGAGAAGGGAAAGAGAATAACAAGCCAAGAGAGAGAAATATTTTCATTTGTTTTGGTTAATTTTGTTTAACAATTGTTTTATTGTAGTAATTGACCTTTAATCTGTTGATTAATACGACGATGACATTTGTCACCGCCTGTTTGGTAAGATTGTTTTCTCGTGCAGATATTCCTATAAAAGCTATTATACGCCCTCACTCAATATTAATCGATCATCATCAAGTGTGTCAGATCTGCATCCCCATGGTGCACCTCTCCTAGAGTATCCCGTGAGATCCCCATCATGCCTGCTCATCAACCTTATGGTGCATGTCACACCTCATCACCATCCGATCATGCTCAGATCTAGATTCGATAGTCTAGATCTGATTTCCATGATGCACCCTCAAGGGCATCCCATATTGGATTAAATGCTAGAGCTTATTTGGCTTTGGACTCAGATTTCTATTCAGCACCTCCCTGTTTTCTATTTCAGGCCCAACTCTCTCTTTTTTTATTTACTCTTACTCACTTTTTTTTATTTAATCAAATATAAACATAATTAGTTTCTTAGTTTTATAAATTAAAATTAATTAGACTCTTAGGTTTTTAATTAACTTTTTTTCCCATTAATTAGTTCTTTTTTAATTAAAATTAATTAGGTTTTTAGGTTAATTATCAAGACCTTTTTTTATCAAAAATCATCAAAAACACTTTCGCTTTCCTTTTTTTTTTATTTTACATTTTTTGCGTAGTTTAGACTTCTCGCTTTCTTTTTCATTATTATGTAATTGTCTATGGTTTGTAATAGCTTAGGTTTCTTTTACTTTCCGCTTTTATATTTTTGTATATGCCTCGAAGTGATGTAATAGTCTAGGATTTGCATTGTCGCTTTTACTTCCTGCACCTTTACCGTTTTCTATATTTTCTACTTACTGATAGTAACTAGGGTTATATGGAAAGGTTAAAAACAAACGATAGCTAACCCTAATGCAAAGATTAAAATAAATAAACACAAATCACTCGCACACTCTCACATCTAGGGTAACCTCCCTTGTTGCCTTCGAAAGTAAACAGTCATGTCCCTCGAACGTGGAGGTGTTTAGAAAATTCCCTCGATACAAATATCATAGTCCCTCGATGACCCTTTTGGTGTTGTCTTTGGTAAATGATCTAGTCCCTTAACAAAAATTTCTAAAGCATCCTTACATGTTGCCTTCGATGATTGTACAATGACCCAAGCATGTCCCTTCACATCCAACGATAGGGCTTCCTACTAACTAGTGGTATGGATAACACTATCTAAAGGAGGATGAAAATATAAGAACGACCTTGAGTAGGGTAAATCTTAATCGCTTTCTCACAAAGCTCTTCAAAATAAAAACATTTCTCACAAACACTTTCAAAATGTTTTCAAAACAAAACGCTTTGTATACACTCTTAATGATACAACAGTCATTACAAATTACGCCTTACATTGGCAAGCCTTTCAAAATATTTTCAAACGCACGACACAAAGAAATTTCAAAAAGTGAGCTAAGCGTTTAAGAGCCCGTAGATAACTACAGATGAAAATGGTGCTAACACCTTCCATTTTCATAACCTACCCCCTAACTCAGAATCAAAAAAGGTCTTTCCTGTTATCTTCATACTTTCCATATTGGATAAAAGAAAATTCAATGACAACTCTTGCTATTCGCAACATTTGCAATCAAACGAAAAACCAAGTCAGTTCTCCAATTGTATTACACTAACTCCTGCAATTTAGTGTTTAATATAGAACCAAAAAGGAGTTTTTATTTTTTATGGATTTTACGCCGGATATTTTATCTTGATTTTTAGTAAAATCGAGATAAAAACTCCCTCATTTATTATTCTTTTTGCAACCAAAAAGGTGCCTTAACTTTTTATATATTTTACGTTGGTTATATTACCTCAATTTTCTATATAGCCGTGATAAATACTCTTTATATTTTTTATTCCCTCAGTGTCTACCTTATTCACTTTCCGATCCCTGGCGAAAGAACACTTCTTCTCCAGAAAACAAAATAACTCTCTCACCATTATCCTCCAAGGAGCCCCAACGAATGAAAAAAATCTCTCACCATTATTCTCCGATATGTTATTATTGTTGTTGTTGTACTTGTTATTATTTTTGTCCATTAATTTTGTTCTTGTTATTGTTCTATATTACTGTTGTTCTTGTTGTTGTAGTTGTTAATAAGCTTTATTTTATTGGTTGTGTATTATTTTTATTTTATTTTCAGAAGGTTTATGTGATTATGGTTCGTAGTTGGATGAAAGCCAATAGTTTAAGTAAAGAGTATGAGAATGGAGTTATACAATTTCTTGATTTCGTGGGAAAAAACCTTCTTGACAATAATAGGATTTTTTTGGTGTCCTTGTATGAAATGTTATAATACAAAAAAACATTCAAGGGATGTTATATTCTGATCATTGTGGTTGTGATAGAATTATTCAAAATTACACGAAATTGATATGGCATGGTGAAGGGATAAAAAAGAGACATTTATCACATACAATTGAAGACGAAGATTATTTATTTATGAATGATAATCTAGAAGACATCATTCATGATATTAGAGTAGATGCTTTCAAGAAAGCTGATATGGTAGATACTTTGCAAAGAGACATGGAAGATTTGTTGTATCTGCAATGTACAAGCTTTACAAGATAGTCAGCTGTGTTAAGACTATTTAATCTTAAGGCAAGAGGTGGGTGGACAGAAAAAAGTTTCATTGATTGCTTGAATTGTTGAAAGAAATACTTCTCGAAGGTAACACGTTGTCGATAAGTACTTATGAGGCCAAGAAGATATTGTGCTCAATGGGTTTGGATGCTGTCAAAATGCATGCTCGTCATAATGATTACATCTTATATAGTAAATAACTTAAAACTTGAAGGATTGACCGAGGTGTGAGGAATCGTGTTACAAGCAGAAGGACAATAGTGTTGAACATGATGATGGTATAACTAGGGTGTTCCTGCCAAGGTGATGTAGTACCTACTGATAATTCCAAGGTTCAAGAGATGGTTTTCTAATGTTAGTGACACAAAGAATACTAGGTGGCATGAAGATGAAAGAGTGTGTGATGGAAAAATTCTCCATGTAGCTTATTCAATGCTGTTGTACCCCAAAATTTTCCCTCCCATTTCCTCAACATTTTCTCATCACAAGACCTTTGAAGATCAAGATCCAGTTAGGATTTCCTCTGCTCAAGACTTCTTCTTGCACTGTGGACTCAAATTAGGGTTTATGTTTGAACAAAGATGTTTTGACCTAAAATGCCTAAGATGACTTTCATGCTTCATATTGGACTCCCAAGTTTATCCATACCAAATTTCAAGTCTTGATTCCAATTTTTGCCCAGTCAATTGGACAGTTGACCTAGAAATCAGCTGTATTGAGGAAAAAGTCAACTGTGGCCAATTGACAGTCAAACCTCATAAAATTTGACCCACATCAACATATTGAATTCATATGGACCATTTGATCAAGTTTGGATCACAATTCCACAAGAAATTTGATCAGATCACCAAAAGGGCAAAATGGTCATTTTTAGGGTTTTGACTGCACAAAGGTAATTTTTGACTGTTTGACCTAGCCAATGGCAAATCAAGTTCACATATGGACTCAAGGACTCAATGAAATGGTTTTGACACATTCATCAAGCTCAAAAGATCCCAAGTACACAAGATTGACAGTTGAATTTCCCAGTCAATTGATCAATTTTGACTGTATACTGAAAAGTCAAACTTTGACTTTTTGGTCAAAATCAAGAGTCAAGATTCATTTTTCATCAAAACATGCCAAATCATGAAACTTGTTCACTAAGAAATCACAAAATGCAAATTAGGGTTAGAAAATGGAATTTTTCATAACTTAGAATTTTTCTAAGTTATGAAAAACCCTAATTTTTTCCCAACTTTGCCCCATCTTTTCACCAAGATCCATTTGGATTCAAACAAAAGTCAAAACATGAAAGTTGTAGCTTGTTGCATAATCTACAACTTTGATTCACAAAGTTTTCTCATTTGAAGCTTGTATCTCAAGTTACAATTTTTTGAATAAGGGCACTAAACCATTTTTAACTTAGTGAAATTTTAACCTATTTTGACAAGGTTTTCTACCCCACTTCAAGGCCATTTTCCATACCCTTCCACTTGGAATTTCAATTTGCATTTCAAATATGGATTGTAGTACACATTCCAAGCTTTCCAAAATGTCCAAGAACTCATCAAACAACCTCATAACTTGAGAGATTCGAATTTCACAAGTTGGCAAAAATTCACTTTTGTTCTTAATCAAGACATGTTCATAATCTTGCAAATTTGAACTCAGCTTGCTTTATGCTTGATTACAGGTCCTTGAACCATTCCATACTCAATAATTTAATGCATATTCAATGTGTTAAGGTGTTGTTCTTTGAGTGCAAGCATTGTATGCAAGATTAATCCTAAACTAGATAAAGTGTTTTATCCATTTTTGTAAAAAGCTAGCTTTATGTCAAATTGAAATCCAAGCAAGTACAGTTAGGATCTCATTGGCACAAGATTATGGACAAATTGCTCTGATCAAGAGAGGCTTATGCAGCAGGATTAGAGGCCCCCTACTGACCTAAAACACCAAGTGACCATTGCTTGCTTCAAATTCAAGTAACATTGCATAACTTGTGCCAACTCTCTTCTCAGCTTTAGCACACAAGAAAGAAGTTATCAAACACATTCCATAGAACACATCCAAGCTTTTGCACGAGTCCTTGACCTCTTAAACACTCTCCATCTCAGAAACACCATCAAACTGTTCAAACAGGGCAAGGCCTGCAGTTTGAGGGCCACCTCTCAATCCCTTCAAGCATTCTTGTCCAAACTTGTTCCTCTACCTTCCTTACAACCTATGCAAGCTATCCAGAAGCTAAGACACGACCTGTAATTGCTCTAACCACTTCCAC